AGATGTTTCCGGGGTGAGGATCGCAGTGGACGACACCCCATTTGAAGATTTGGGCGGAAAAGAGGTCTACCATGGTGGTCATGACCTCTTTGGTCGTCAGGCCAAGGCCGCCTCTCCCACGAAGGCCCTTCCACTCCTGTCGCTCGGGTTTGATCTTTTCCTGGTACGGGTTTGTGCGAAGCTCGCGGCGGGCGAGATCCATATCAACCGGCGGCAAGGGAGTTCCGGCTCCCGGGCTGCCTTTTCCGTAGCCACCCAGCCATCTCGACGTCATAGCCTTCTTGTCCCACAGTCTAATGCCCTCTATCCATTCGGTCGTCAATACTCGCTTCGTGCTGAGATCGGAATACACAGTAGGAATGTAGACCCGCCCTTTGAGACGGCTCTCTGAGTTGACCAGCTGGCGCATCGTCTCGGAGTTGCGCGCCTCGCTCAAGAAGTCTGTTTCTAGCTCTAGACGCTCGGAGATGAACGGTACCAAGGTATAAAGGGGAAGATCAAACCACTTGGAGAATATCCAGGTCACGGTCCTGTTCGGATCAGGCCATCATAGTCAGAACCATGCAATACAGGAAGGAGTTGGTGGGACAGAAGCGACAGAGGAAGACATACTTGAAGGTCCATAGATCCCACGAAATCTGTTTCGCGATTTCTGGCTTCTGGATCTTGATTGCAACCTCTCTCCCATCGGGTAGCCTTGCCCAGTGAACTTGCGCAACACTTGCGCTGGCGCGAGCCTTTCTCTCCATGATGCCATAGCCCTCTTTCCCGCTGAAGCTGACTCCAAACACTTCCTCGACGCTCTTGCCAAAGTCTTGCCGTATTACCGCCTCCACGGCCTTCCAGTCGTCCTGCGGCGCATCGTCAAACATTCTGCCAAACATTTTCTGGAACTCGGGCGGCAGCACAGCGCTTTGCATTGCGATGGCCTGGCCGATCTTGAGGTACAGCCCGCCGTTTGAGCGCAGCAGATGGAAAAGCCGTTCCGCATTGCGCATGTGCAGATCAGGCACGGTCCCTCCGACCCAGGGCTCCGGTCGGAAGTTGATCTTGTAGTCGAGGGCAGCGACGAGCGCCGTGCCAAACGTGCGAAGCGACCGCGCAACGCTGGAGGCGTAGAGCTGCCGGTCGACGACATAGATCGTGCCGCCGACGACGGCCGTGACGAGGAGTCGACGTCCCCATTTCCGGCTGCCCTTGTACTCCTTGGCGGCTCGCGGCGCTCCGAGACTCGCTGGGGACGGAGGTCGCAGAGGTTGGAATGGCCCCGAGTTCTGTATGCGCCGGACGAAGACGTCATATCGTGAGGGCACGCGACTTCGCAGCAAAGCTTGTCTGGAGAGGCTCAGGCCGAGGCCGCTGCGACAGAGCATGCCAGGCATTGTCGAGGATCGATTGGCTCTACCGCGGCGTCATCCGGGAGGACACAATAAGGACACGGACGAGATGGAGAATGAATGTAGTCGGCAGAAGTGGTGGGATGCTGACGGTAGCCTGGAGGGTTTCCCCGGCAAATTGTGGCTCCCACGGATGTCCGGTCGGTGCCGACTTGAGGTTGATCCGAAGTTTGGCCATCTGGATTACGGATATACAATGACGGAAGTTAGCATCTTGCATGCAGCTTTCTTCTTTGTTCTCGTTTGGTATTTATATTTGTTTTATTTTCTTTCCCTTACTTACCTCAGCTTCTCCTGAAGTAGCTCTCTCTTGTTTGTGCGTGTAGAGTCTGCTATTGAGCCTGATGTATTGTCAAGCCCATGAAATGTACGTTCTGCTCTTCAGTGAGCAATAAACGTTTCGAAGACCATTCTCATGAGATGCACATCAGCAGGATAGAATAGGAATCATCCAAATACTACCTAATACTACTGGTAGTCACTATCTTATTTTATTTTGAATATCTCCCTGTCGAGTTGGAAGCAATTTCCACGGAGTCACTGACCTGCCTTTTCCAATTTGTGAAGATGCTTGATAATCTAGGGTATTGAAGAAAGAATGTCGCTCCACGTCCGTAATCGCTCCGTGCTCAGTCGGGAAGTATGACGAAACGTCGCATACCTTAGTACATAGCTGATACGCGGAAGATAAGATAGGCGGATCTACTCCGCCCAGAGCTTCGCGTCGGGTACGAGTACGAGCCCCGAAAGCATGCGGGGAAGAGCTCAACAATGGCAACACCGTGGATGTCTCGTAAGAGAACGGCACTCTTGCGTCACTGGATTGTCCTCTGCGCAAGGCCAAAGCGCCTCGAGCGCCAGTCACTGCAAGATGACGCCTGAGAACAGATGTCGTATGCCTTGATTCCGCACCGTGGAAAAGCTGGAAAATCCATGGCTTTTTGTACAAAGTGCATCATGCTTTGCCCTGTCGCCTTGGCACACCAAGGTGCACTTCCCGAAACAGGGCCTATCCGATTGCCCACCTGCCCAAACAGGGGGGCCCTAATTTGGAGGCATTTGGAGCAGTTGCGAAACGGAGAGTGCCTGGCCTTTGGAAAGTGATTCACCTCATTGATTCATTCCTAGGTACTCCGTAAACAATCAGAGGGACAAATCAATGGCTCAAGTACATGTTTAATCGCTGCGTTACTGGCTTTCAGCTCTCTCGCGTCACCAATATTACAGGCACTCTGAGATAAGCCGCTCCTTATCCAAAGCCCTCTTCTGCACATGCAACCAGCACGCGCGTCGGGTCACTCGTGTCACCCACAAGGAAGCGTGTAAAATCTCCAGCATTGGCCAGGGGGGTCTTTTTGCGTATGACATGCTGCGCAACAACTTCATGTCGATAGCGCGGCCCCAAAAGAAGCCATTCGAAGCCACAGATTTCGTGTCTTTGTACGTTCAACGGAGGGTGTTGGAGGAAGGTACAAGGCACAGTGTGCGTGGGTATAAAATGGGCCGATTTGTATGTACTCAACTTGGAAGAAACAAGCATCCTTCATACCA